TTAGAAAGCAACTCTAAGTATGAGTCTTCATATTTCAGCTTCACAAAAGTCAAGTGCTCGAAATACGAGCTTATAGGAGAGATGTTCACTACTCATTTGGGATTTGCTTGTGCCATGTTTTTTATGTAATAAGCTGTACAAAAAACAAAGGTCAACATATTGGATAGAATTAAAACAAATTAAATCAAGTTCACCTGTTATGCAACAAAGTCAATAATTCATATTAAAAGATGTATAATCCAGGTGCTTTTGCAGACTTTCAAAAAATGTTTTCTAAAAAAGAAAGGGCATACAAAATGCACAATATGGTACTAGCACTAGTTTTATAGCGACTACTTCTTGTAATATAGCTAATTTAAACATGGCTTCAACTACCAATTTTAGTGTGCACATGCAGCAGAGGCACACATGGGAAAAGTTAACTACAAAATATTATTTTCCTTATAGACCTGTTCAATTTCAATTCTAACATTATATCTAGCTATCTATAGATTGATATTAAACATATATATGAAAATAAACCCTAGATTTACACGTTGTTTGCCAACTTTAAAATTAGAAGCAAGTTAAGGTTTAAATCCTAATTCTACAAAAGTTGCATGTATGAAGGGAAATGTTGACATATAACTGTTACAGGATGGACACCAGCCCAAAAATATTTTTTAACTACCTTGAGCCAGATCAGACCTGAAGATAAACCAGGGGTGGACAAATATTTCAGGAGGAGGGCCGCTTACTGAGTTTTGGCAAGCCATCGAGGGCTGCATGACAGGCAGCAAGGGGCAGATAAATATTAATTTTCTAAATTTTTTAGGGGCCCCGCAGGCTGCATAGAATGGCCCGCATCCGGTCTGCAGGCCGCATTTTGCCCACCACTGAGATGAACTTTGCATTAAAGTGAAAGCTTCGTTTGTGTGTGTGTGTCTGGGGGGGGGTGAATGAAGGCACAGAGTCAGATAGCCAAGAACTGTCCATAAATGCTGTATGATAACATGTCAATATTACTTGTACTTCATGAATGAATTCTTCTCCAACTTCACTTAGTGCAGGGGTGGGCAAAATGGCCGATCTGGCTGGCAGCTCCATTTCCCAGCTGCCCCTGCCCGCGTGGCTTGGGCCAGCCTAACTGGAAAGCTCAGGCTGGGGTTGCCATGGAGACCATCTGCAGTCAGGCTGGTAGCACATGTGGCAAAGCAGGGCAGGGGGCTGCTCTGCAGCCGCTGGGAACTTGCAATGGGGGCAGCTTGCTCCGGAGCCAGGGCAGAGCCGCGATCTATAACCTGCATGCTCTGGGCAGGGGCATGCAAGCAGGGGATGGTCCTTGCAGCAGTGACAGCCTGGTTTGGAACTGGGGCAGAGCTGCGATCCCCTGCTTGCGTGCTCCTGCCCAGAGCATGCAGGCCACAGATTGCGCCTCTGTCCTGGCTCCAGAGCAAGCTGCCCCCATCACAAGTTCTCAGAGGCTCTAGAGCAGTCCCCTGCTGCTTGCACTGCCAGCACAGCTGTGGCTGGTCTCCATGGAGCCCCAGCCTGAGCTTTCCCATGCAGGTGCAGCTGGGGTTTTCTTGGAGACTGGCCAAGTCATGTGGGCAGGGGCGGCTGGGAAAGAGCCCACGGCCAACTGGATTTGGCCTGCAGGCCAGACTTTGCCCATGTCTGACTCAGTGCATCTATCCCATACAAACTCATCTTTTAAGATTCACAGGCAAAATACATTTCTATGTAATAGGTAAAAGTAACTTTTTAAAGCTTGAGAAGTTGGATCTGAAACAAATTTATAATAAAGATACAAAATAAATTCTCTACTGCCAATAAAATGCACTGCACATCTCAGTGGCACTACCAAAGATATATTAAGCACTTCCACCAATAGTGTGTTAAACTTCATAGTATTTCAATCAAATCTTGCACGCACTCCCATCATTTATAGACTGTCTGCCCCAAAACATCTAATCCCCCCCATTCATTTTGATGCACACACATTTCTCACAAATGATAAACTAAAATTTATTAGACCAAGTCATTTGTTGATAAGCTATTTTGTTATTCAGAGTGAATTTTAGAACCAGAACAGTTAATATCATTACTAATACCTAAAGCAGTGGGGACCAACCTCTTTGGCAGGTGTGCCATATATTAGACCCACACCCTCCCCACTCCAATCCCCTTCCCCAGGCCAATTTGCTGCTCTGCTTCCTGCCTTCTTCCCTGTGTTCTCTGCCCAATTTGCTGCTTCACTTTCTGTTTCCTGCCACATGCCCCATCTGCAGATGTGCTGCCCGCCCCTATTTGCCAAGTGCCACACTGAGTTTGCTTATGCCACTTGCAGCACTAGTGCCACAGGGTCACCACCCCAATCTAGAGAATACCAGAGTTATGTACTGAGGTTGCAGAAAAATGAAGCCATTCATAATGTAATGGGTCTTTGTAAAATTTAGGCAGAAATACACCAAAACTCAAAACTATATCTATTTAAATTGTACTATTTTAAACTTCCAAATTATCTCTATCTAAATGCACTCTCTCTAAAGCAGGGGCGGGCAAATTATTTTAGGTGGAGGGCCACTTACTGAGTTTTGGCAAGCCATCGAGGGCCGCATGACAGGCAGCCACGGACAGATAAATATTAACTTTCTAAATTTTTTAGAGGCCCCGCAGGCCAGATAGAATGGCCTGGCAGGCCCCGGGCCACATTTTGCCCACCCCTGCTCTAAAGGGTGTAGTAAAATCAATTTAAATTTAAAATAGTAAGCATCAATGTTCATATTATTGTGTTTAGAATATCTTCATACAGGATTCCTTCAGGGTTCAAGTGTTTGCTCTCCTAAATATGACCTACCATTCTGTAATCTTTGACCTTCACATTATGGACTCCAGAGCTTTGCAACATCAGAAAAAAACTCAAATGTTAATGTGGGAAGTTTTGGGAAGTGTATGAAGACCTTATGAAGTCTGTTTGATAATGGGTAGGGACCTAGTTAAATTGCAGTTTCATGGAAACTGAAATCCAGGGTTGCCTGTGAAATCCATGGGGAAAAAACCCCACAGTTAATAAAAACAAGGTATACAGGAGGGGAGGGCACCAACTGACAGGGCAGCAGACAAAGTGGCATCTGCCCCCTTGTCCACCTTGTCCCTCCCCCCCCCCAAGCCCGCCCTGTCAATCAGCGCCAAGGGGTGGGGCTGCTGTGGAATGTCTGTGAAATGGGCTCTTTGTGCCAGGACAAAGCTGCAAAAATGGCTTTTGTCTTACTGCAAGTTAAGTAGGTCCTTAATAATGGGTACTTTGTGTGCATCCAATACAAACTCCATGTCAGAAAGGGAACATAGTTGCTTTTCCTTTCTTTTTACCTCCATGTTGGACTGAAATTCCAGTAGCACATGGTTAAAAAGGGAAGCAGTTAAAACTTTGGTGACTGCATATATTCAAAAACACATCCTTGCACAAAGCCAGCTAGCTACTGCCTGGGGCAAATGAGTTCTTCAAGCCTGTAAGTAGGCAGTGAATCACAGGATGAGGTTGATCTAAGGGTCACCAAAGAAAGTGTCTCAGCTACTGTCTAAAAAAAAAAAAGAGAGGAGACTTAGACAGAGGAGCAAAAATTACATGATGTGAAGGAAAATTCCAGAGTTGCAGAAAGGGAAAAATCATGACTTCTCGGGGGACTCTGGCCTAAGCTGACCTAAATACTAAAGACTACGCAGGAAAGAACATACATACCTGTGAAGTGAAGAAAGGCTTTGCTTTTAGAATCCTTACAAAATCTGTCTCTCTGAACTACCACGTGTCCCCTAAGAGTCCCACCCACAAGAATCGTGTTTTGGGAAAGAATTTCTTTAAGCTACAATGGGTCTCAAAACAGGTGACCTGGAGGTCCTGTTTCCACAAAGGGTCAGTTAGTCGGTGCCCAGGAAGGACAAAGAATTAAAATATAGTTTGCTCACACCAAAAAATAGTTATGGCCTTAGTTCGTTAAGACTCAAACACAGTCATCTCAGTAGTATCCAGCTGAGGAAGCGGTAGCTGAGTCTATAAACACATGCAACAAGTATATTTTACTTGTTTTGCTACATCATAGAAGATTGATTCACAGATGCTAGGGTCAGAAGGGACTTCAACAGATCATCGAGTCTGACCCCTGTCGTGGCAGGAAAGAGGTCTGGGGTCAGATGACCCGAGCCAGATGCCTATCCAGCCTTCTCTTAAAGACCCCCAAGGTAGGGGAGAGCACCACCTCCCTTGGAAGGCAATTCCAAATTCTGGCCACGCTTACCATGAAGAAGTTCTCCTGATATCTAGCCTAAATCTGTTCTCTGTCAGTTTGTGACCATTGTTCCTTGTTACCCCAAGAGGCGCCCTGGTGAACAGAGCATCTCCGATTCCTTGTTGCGCCCCCCTAATGAATTTGTAGGCAGCCACAAGATCACCTCTCGGCCTTCCCTTGCGGACGGTTCCTTAGTCATGCATTGATGGAATAAGTAATTTATTCAGATTAGAAGTGTAAGTGTAATCTTTGCCTGATTTTTCTCGCCCCGCCCAATTATTTTCAATTGATATTAAACATCAAGTGTTTTGGTCAGTAGCTACAGCAGTTCATGAGTAGTCCTTTTCATCATCGCATGAATTCATAAATTAGACTGGCATGTTAAAAATAATTCACAATGGCAGAATGCTAATTAGTAATATAACGAAAACCTTTATGTTTCATAAGGGATACTCAACATTTCACAAATGGATAAAGTGGATGGAACAAGGCTTTATCGTGAAGAAAGTGGTTATTCCAGTTGAGTTCCCTAGTAGTAAATGATGTGGTAAACTTGTCAATTTACGAAAAAATTGGTGTAGACACATAAAACTATTACAAGAAAGTAGCTCTATTTCTACTCCTGAACACAGCATTCTTGGTACCACCAGGATTTTCACGTAGGAAGGTGTCGAGTCAATCCACTACTCCAACCCCAAATGGTTCATAACATAATATTTTCAACTATATACATACTGGGTCCATCCTGATGGTCTGAAAAGGAAAGACAAAAGAGCAAACTTTGATGTCTAACAAAATGAATAAAAGTTTCAAGAATTTTTGGGGAAGCAGTAGCAATTAGTACTGCTATCCCTGCTCGCTGCCAAACTCCAAGCCCCATAAGACTGGGTCAGGGCCATGCCATACCCCTACTTTCTGCACAGCCAGATCAGGTCCTGCTGAGCCCACCCCACACGCTGGATCTGGCCCACCAACTGGATCCAACCCGTGGACAGACCGGATCCAACCCACAGTACAAAGAGTTTGAGTATTGCTGGTGTAGAGCAAGAGGTTCTATTTATTTCATATAAAAACCTAATCTCTTTATGTCCAGTCCTTAAATTAGCACTAGGAACTCAATTTTCCATTATATTGGAAATGATAAAAAGCAAAACAAAACAATTACATTTTTGTATTGTTTAATTGTTTAGAAATTGTAGTGACCTAGATGTACAACCATCCTTCAAAAGAGGGCCTTAAAAGCAGGTAAATGGCTAAGCGTTAAATCAATAGCTCTAGTCCAAAGGGCTGTTTCATCTAATCCTTCAGTCCCCATGGAAATCTCAAGAGTGCTTCAACTCTCTACGGTGTTTAATTCATATAAGGAAGACCTGCCCGAAAAAAACGATTAAATCAGCTGCATTTGACACACATTTCATGACCAGACTCTTCTCTCTCTCTCAAACTTTTAAACTCCCAGCATGACAGGGACTATCAAAGTGACACCTGTATTTAGTTGTACACATTATATTGTAGATGATTTACTACACTGAAAAACGGGGCCTTTTTAAGGATGTTCTTACTGTGCAAGCTCGTTTTAGTCACAATACACAAATTCATAGGAGGCAAGGAGTTTGGAAGCTGCAGGATCACAACGTTCACAGGAAGGAGGAAGCAAAGTCTACTAGCTCTAAGTCAACTACAACTACCTTCTGCTTTCCTGCTAAACTGTCAGCCCTACAGTGCCTCAACATTTTACAAAGTTAGAGGACTCTGAGAAAAAGTAAAGAAGCGACTTTAAGGAAACATATACTCAGATATAACGTTAATTACACAAACACAGAGTCCCCAAAAGACCTCAGACTGCACTGTACAAACACTGTGAATTTTTCAGATGAGGCAGGCTTTCACAGTCTTAAAAAGAGAAAACAAAGCTGAGAAAGAAAGGCACAGAGGTGAAGGTTACAGCAACTTGCTGTGCCAGGATCAGAATACAAATCTCCTGACTCAGTGTACTATTTAAGAGCATAATTCATGGTCACACTTAAAACTTCACTATAGGCTCAACCAAAGCCAACAAGGCTTTCCATTATGCTTGTCCACTTCTTCTGAAGCATAAATCTGGCGATTTTTCAATATACAACCTTCCATTATAAGTGTTCAGCTGGAACTGTCTCAGAGTATGTATGTTGCCTTATGCTTTCACCGTGAAAAAGTCAGGCATAAAACATCAAAAAGGCACTGAGTATAGAATGAGAGTGCAGCAAGTTTCCAACAGATAGAGGCACTTAAGGGCACGTGTGTGTGTGTGTGTATATTTGGAAATCTCAAAAAGATCAAATATTATGAGTCAAGCCATCCCAAATAGTGACTGGCACCAAAAGAATGATTTTTAAAGACCTAATATTTCCCCCCCCCAACTTTTACTATCCACTTTTGCCATCAATGCATGTGCAATAGTTTCAGGTGGGAGAGAGACAAGGCTCTTTGGGTGAATTTGATATCTTTTATTAGACCAACTTAAATAGCTGGAAAACAGGTAGAGACAGACCTTTTAGGGCACAGAAATAAATGTTCCCTTTCCTGGCTGCATAAATGATTCCTCTTAGTCTCTTCTTACCAAGGAGTAGGGTACTACCTCCATATATCCTGACTCTTCCCTCTCACTTTGACCTTTCCCTTACATTCTCCCTGGAAAAATGCCTATAAAATACAGCTGAAAATAAGAATGATTACCATCCAAAAAAGCCCCACAAACAAACCAACCTTTGTGCCAATTTCCCAATTATTTTTCAGTAAATATTTGTGAAGGTTGCAAACAGCTTTACATGTACGAACGTCTTTACAACATATTGTTAGAGTCTGGAAACACCCTAATGCAAGAAAAGCTTTTTACACTGAAAATACTTCAACTGCAATTTTAAATAATCCTAATTTCCTTGAAAAAAATTTAAATCAATATATAAAAATACAAAGCAATTACAATAATTTCCAATTTTTTAAAATATAGCATTTATATCAGCCCAAACAGTTCAAAATAGCTTATTTTTACTTTAATTCTCCTTCATCTGTGCTGTCCAAGACCTGTTCTCTAGGATTTAAGCAACATTTCTAATTTCCCCTCATCTCAATTCCCAGGCAGAGAAGCCTCAGGATAGCAGGTAGCAGGGAAGTTGTGTGACAATGTCTGAGGCTAAAGCTCTTACACAACCTCTACCTACTTGTCCAGTCCTAAACAAGAAGAGGAGCAAAGCTTCCAAACATATCAGCATGAGTGTTTTTCCTGCAGGCACCAAAATCCCATGAATCTTGATCAATTTGTTAGTGAAGCTGCACCCGCCTTGGCTGGTGAGTAGGGATTCCTCTTCCCATCGGGTTGAGGAACTGCCATGCAATAGCTTTACTCCTTCAAACCAGTCCCTGCAAATCTTAAGTCTACCCACTGCCCTCCCCCTCACCTTGCTCCTATTTTAGGGTCTATAGACACCCTTCATATCATCTCTACTTTGTTTTAGCCATTAGAACACAAACTACCTCCAAGTCTATGAACGTGGCTTTAATTTAACTGAAAACAGTGGGAAATGGCTGGATTTATGGTCAGCTTCATTTCCATATGCAGACTTTAGAGAAATAGTGACCATCTTGCTTGCTCAAGTCATATCAGCATTAGGCATTAAATAAAGGAAAATCTGCATGAAAGCTGCTTTTTTCATATACTTGCAACAAAGATAACACTAATTCTGAAAAAGTCTCACCTGTTAACACAGTAGTACCGACTCTGGGAAATGTATGGTGTGCACTGAGTTTTTAATCGTTTTCTCTCCATCTCCTTCCAACTATCTTCTGTACATTTTCTTTTTGTTCGTTTCTCTTCATGTTTTTTCTCAACATATTCTGCATAGGTCTGGATCCTATAACTTTCAGCGTACCTGCTGGTGTTTACAGCTATGGGGAAGAAGAGAATTGAACATTATATACAAAATGACCTTTAAAAAGATAGCCATCTCTCACTGGAAAGAACTTGCTTAAAAAAGGGGAATCAGTGAACAGTTTGCTGTCAATATAATCAATTCAAAAGAGCATTGTTAATGGGGAGAAAAATTTGTACCATCTTAATTCACATTTATACCCATGACAAAATAACTGTACAGTTATTTATTCCTAGTACTTCCTAAACATGGGGTTAATTCGATTGAAGAAATTTGTTAATGAGAAAGCAATTCTTCAGTTAAAACCTTCTTCCAAATTGCATGTTGGCAAGAAAACACTGAGTATTTTTCCTATAAGTTTCATTACTTAACCCTGCAGGTTTACTTTGCAATTCTGCCAGGAAAAGACTACATTTGCAAAACCTTTGCCAAAACTCAGTCTGATTACTGAAAAACAGGTTTGAGTTGCACTTCGTATTACATAAAATATCCACTGAAGAGACATTCTTAACTAGCACCCACTTGTTCACATTATATTTTTCTACTGTTAAAACTCTAATTAGCTAAAACATCGTGTCCTATTTTATGGTGCAGGCATTTCTCAACACACCCAGAATTATGATCACTCTGAAAACCCACTTTCATTGCTTGCCTTCACCCAGCAACAATTTACCAACATTCCTCTAAGTCCCAGAAGCTTTGCAGCTCTCAGCCTTTAATCTGCAAGGCAAGCTCTGGCCTGAGGCCATCACTATAACGGGTGAATCAGCAAAATGAATTGGCTGTCAACTGGTGTCCTCTGCTGTTTCTAGCTTAAGTCTGAAAGCAAGCTATATATAGAGTTATATCTATATATCTACATATCTAGAGAGAGAGAGCGCACTTGTTTCATACACTCAACCTATGCATTTGAAATTCAGTGAAGTTTAAAATTAAAATCTTGTTATTCCTTTTCCAGTCTTTTAGAGGAACAAAGTTGTTCTATTGCAACTCTTTATCCAACTTTCTACTTTTGGTTGAAATAGGCATGTAGTTAGTTTTAACACTGACCATTTTATATTACTGTTAGCCAATATATTGAAGGCAGTAATGCCCAACATCATAGTCCAACTCGGGTCAGAATGTGGTGTAAAACAGTGGCAGAACTTTTTATTTTTGTCAAGACTGACAAGGGCATCTTATAGAAATATTTAGCGTAACATGCAATTAATGGCCCATGAGACGCATGTAGCATATGAATAATCTAGATAAAGGAAAAGCCTTTTAAAACTTAATTAGAATACAAAACCATATGCAGATTATGCCAGAGACCTCAGGAATAGTTGTATCAGAATCTGATTAATGAAAGTTTTTAGAATTTTTGTAGCAGCAAAAGAAACAGTAATACCACTACATACATGTGTTCATTAAGTTTCCCATGCATTACAAAGCTTCAGGATCTGTATCATTCAAAATTTTAGCTCCAAGGTTATATACCAACCATAGAATTAGTTTAATCCTTTGGATGCAATTTAAAAGTCAAAGACAGAACGTCCGTAAGAAATTAATCTAATGTCCCACACTTCCTCACACCAGTACAAAATCTGTGCAAAAGTGAGGAAGATGTCACAGATGGCTGCCAAATTAAGATTTTTCTAAAAAAATAATTGCATATAAAAGTTAACATTTCTAAATAAAAGAAAAATCCACTCCCTTTGTAGTTGTGCCTATGTTTTATTGCAGCCCATGCAGAAATGTTATGCGGAGAACAATATAATATGTTAGTTGTTGAATAGTTAAAATGAATATGCAGACAGTTAAGAACTTTACCACAGATTAATTTCTTATATGATCTTCAGAAGCTACAGTAAAGTAGGGAGGTTCTTTATAATAATTTGCAACTATCAGCTGTAAAGCTTTTAAAACAGTATTCTTCACTCTGGCACAACCCCCACATACTTGCCAACAGCAGGGATGGCCAACCTGAAACATGCATGTCATAAGTGGCCTAGGAATCCTCTTTGTGGCAGACTGGGGAGGCAACAGGCAGCATAGTGACAGATTGAGGAAGGAGAATAAAGCAGAGCAGCACATTGAGCAGGGAGCACAGGGCAGGAAGCAGAAACCAAAGCAGCATTTCAAGCAGGGAGCAGAAAGCAGAGCAGCCAATCAAAATCAGAGTGGCAGTCAGGGAAGGTGTACAGCTAATTTGTGGCACTCCTACTAAAAAGTTTGGCCTCTACTGCTCTAGAGAGAACCCACTATGCACTGTCAACCCAAGAAAATCCTAGTGGATTCATTTTTACAAAGGGCTTGCTCCAATTTGCTGGGTGAAAAGACTGTTCTCTGCCCCTCATGTGTTAAATTTGCCTTACCTTACCAGTTTTAAGTTACACAGAAAACTAGATCTGCAAGCCATAATTGCAAACATCACACTACGTTATGAAGATCATTTCTAGACCACCGCATCTCACTGTGCAGATTATTTAGCAGACTACGGATGAGCGATCCAAGAGGAATGTGCACAAATACAAAGATTTTCTTTCACCAAGTCATTGCCCTTGTTCAAAACAAAATCCTGACAGACAGTGCTACTGATAATACCAAGCATAATAAATGCACAAGGTTATTCTACAGCTAAACTACATAAAATGCAAAGTGTGGGTAAAAATACCACTAACGATATATAGCTTATATTACAATTGCAAAAATGCATCAAAGGTTGCAAAAATCAAGCACTCATAAAGTTAGGAAATGTCATAATAAAGGTTATCTGTGAAACCTTAACTTTATCCCTTATATTTGTGCTCTTGTTATTAAAGACTATCACTATTTTTAACACAGAACCCTGCCTCATTTGAACAGAGATTAATTATAAACTATTCAATATATTTCAGCTTTGCTGTTCATTGTATATACCCTTGGCTTTTCTTAGAGCTGGCTTGAAGAGTGTGCAATGAAAACCATTCCTTTCCGTGTAGACCTTTCCACAACACACATCATTACAACATACAGTGCTCCACAAACATTAATAAAAGTAATCTACACTAGGAGCTCAAGCCGCCTTGAGCTAGTACAGAAACTTACAGCAATAATAGTTTGTTATTAACTATGTGGGCCTATTTGCAGGGAATGAGACATACTGCCAACAGTATTCACATATATTTCACGAAATCGGAATGGAGAGAATTGGAAATTTTAGCTTCCATTTCAGGCCCTGAAAGGGAGTGTGTTCTAAATGGGCAGTTCTGTTCATTTCCCCCAAGCTTCTTTCTTTCTGCCATGACTTTCCCATGCCGTCTACATCCCCCACGTCATCACTTCCTCACCTCTGGTTCCTTCTCCCAGTCCCAGTCTCCTTACTCAGCAAGTCTTCCCCTCCAGGTTCACTGTCCATCTTCCAGATTCCCCTGTACAGCCAGTTCCAATTCCCAGTCTCTCCCTGTCGACAGGGAGTTTCCTTTCTCATGCTTCTGGCCTCTACTTGTTGCCACATGAGGCTAGATAATTTTGCCCCTCTTGCTGCTACATGTGTCAGGGTTTGGTTTGGTTTTTTTTCCACAGATGCTAGGGTTGGAAAGGACCTCAATGGATCATCAAGTTTGACGCCCTGGACATGGCAGGAGAAAGAACAGGGGCATGCGACTCCCAGCCAGGTGCTTGTCCAGTCTCTTCTTGAAGACCTCCAAGGTAGGGGAGAGCACCACCTCCCTTGGAAGTCTATTCCAGATTCTGGCAACCCTAACGGTGAAGAAGTTCTTTCTGATGTCCAGCCTAAATCTACTCTCTATCAGTTTGTGGCCGCTGTTCCTGGTTTTGTTTTGGGTTTGTTTTTTTTAAGTCTTCCTCAGAACCAATGGGTATTGGCTGCAATCAAGGCTGGGGATTAAAATTATAGTTCTTCATGAAAGAAGAAAGCTATTATCAACAACTGTCCCATGCCATAAGCTATTTCTATCCTTAATAAAATAATGAGGAAAAATTGCTGAACATCTGGTAAGTGTGCAATTAGCAGTTGGGGTTATAAAAGAATAAATCTTGCTAATTTACCCTTTGACAAGTATAAATTCAGTGGATAAAGGAAAGGAAGCAGATATATTTGTTTTGGCCAAGCATCTGATTGCTCCTTATGAGGTCTTACTTGTAAAGTTCTAGTTTTTAGTAAGAATACCTATTATGGAATGAAAACTGGGTGAAGGATCAGAGTCTTGTCATTTTTCCTACCCTATAATTTCCCTAGTGCCTAACTTGATTTTTGCTTGCAGCTTTCCCAAAAGAAGCCTGATAATATAACAGCTTATTATTCCATGACAGTCCACAAGGTTTTTGACCATCTTAATTTCACTGCTGTCAAATAAAGTTTAAGAGGCATATGCCCTGGAGCTTTCTACTGACTCAGGGAGATTGTACTGCATCAGTTTACATCTTTATATTGAGGGCTATCCTGATAACCATAATGAGTATTTAAAAACTAACTTCATAGGTCTCCTCTCCTGACCAAGAAAAAGTCTCTTTTGCCTATGGTAAGCAGAACTTTTTCAAGGCCTGCTCACTACTGTATTTTAGAATGCATGAAATGTTTGGATTGAATTTGTAAGTTTTGATTTTACTCCCTTTGCTACATCTCTCTACCATTTATATGAATTTCTATCACCTTGTAAAGTAAAAGGGGAAAACAATATTTGAACAGGAGAATCCGCCCTCAAAGCCCAGCTCCTGCTACTGATAGAGGCAATGTCATTTCTCAAAAAGTCTAGTCATTTACTATCAGGGTGGATTTGATTTAAATCATAATTTAAATCACTGGCCAGGAAGCCTTGATTTAATTGTTTTCTACAAAAAGTACATTCTTGTTGACAGGTTTCCCTTTCTACCATACCATTCCCTCACTAGGTCTCAAATCAATGGAGTATCCCTCAAGACTTCTAGAATATCCTGCTCAAAATGTTTCTCTTTTGTTTCTACTGCCGCTTCCTTCCCTCCTTGCACTTATCTCCAGACTCCTCCTCCTTGTCCAGATCTACTCCACCCCGAACA